CCGGGGCATGGGTACAGGGAAGACCCGGGTATTACCGGGGTACCCCATCTAGTGACGTTAACGGTGTAACAACTTCAGAAGCAGCTAAAGCAGTACCATCACCAGGAGTTGTTCAATAAATCCCTGAACTATATGTTTAACTGATCTCTAACCCTGCCCATGGAGGACAGAAGAAAATGTATATATGCTGGTTAGCATTGTAAATGTGTGGCCACGTCTGTGGTAGAAAATAATAATAAAAAAAAAATGACCAGCAGACCCAAATGCACCACGGCAGACATACCTCAGCTACCCAGACAGAGCAGACACACCAAACATTCACTGGCTTACTCCAAAAGATCGATCTTGACATAACTAAATGAAAAAACAACGAATACACAAAAATATACAAATAAAAATCTATACAATAAATATCACATCACGATCACAAAGCAGATTTATTTAGTGGATTAAAAAAAAGGGACTGAAAAAGAGTCAAATAACGAATAAAAGCAAACCCGCCGCCTTTGGCCAACTGTGAATGCTCTCCGAGCCACGTGGCAAGATGGCGGACCGGGAGCGGTTGAGACGGTTGGCCTTGGATTTGAATTTAAACTGTCCACTCAGTTTAAAAAATGGACATATGTAAAATATTATATTATTAATTTGATTTCCATGCCAAGTTTTGAAATTTAAGAGCAATTATGATTATTGTTATTGATATTATTGCTGTTATTGTTATTATTTGACTGTTATTCTTCTCATTAGGTTATTAGTAATGTAACACATAGAAATCACACTAAAGTGATATATATCAGTGTGAAAATCAGCTGCATCTCTTTGATGATTCGACCCGCAACCAGCAGACTGTCAGCCACAACCGCTACCACCGGTCCTTCATCCCTGGACTCCCCTCAGAGACAGTGGGATGGGATCGAACTCTCGTATTATTTTTTGAGCTTTAATTGATAGAAATCGACCAGTTTTAAATTATTATTTGTAAGATATGTGAAAAAATATCGTAAATACTAACCTGCCACTTGAGCTTGGACCCCATCATGGACCCCCAGTCAAGCCAAGACCCCTCATGGACCCCCCAGTCAAGCCAGGACCCCATATGGACCCCCAGTCAAGCCAGGACCCCATCATGGACCCCCAGTCAAGCCAGGACTCCTTATGGACCCCCAGTCAAGCTAGGACCCCTCATGGACCCCCACTCAAGCCAGGACCCCATCATGGACCCCCACTCAAGCCAGGACTCCTCATGGACCCCCTACTCAAGCCAGGACCACTCATGGACCCCCACTTAAGCCAGGACCCCTCATGGACACCCAGTCAAGCCAGGACTCCTCATGGACCCCCCCACTCAAGCCAGGACCCCTCATGGACCCCTACTCAAGCTAGGACCCCATCATGGACCCCACTCAAGCCAGGACCCCTCATGGACCTCCACTCAAGCCAGGACCCCTCATGGACCCCCACTTAAGCCAGGACCCATCATGGACACCCACTTAAGCCAGGACCCATCATGGACCCCCACTTAAGCCAGGACCCATCATGGACCCCCACTCAAGCCAGGACCCCTCATGGACCCCCACTTAAGCCAGGACCCATCATGGACCCCCACTTAAGCCAGGACCCATCATGGACCCCCACTCAAGCCAGGACCCCATCATGGACCCCCACTCAAGCCAGGACCCCCACTCAAGCCAGGACCCATCATGGACCCCCACTTAAGCCAGGACCCCCACTCAAGCCAGGACCCCTCATGGACCCCCACTTAAGCCAGGACCCATCATGGACCCCCACTCAAGCCAGGACCCATCATGGACCCCCACTCAAGCCAGGACCCATCATGGACCCCCACTCAAGCCAGGACCCCCACTCAAGCCAGGACCCATCATGGACCCCCACTCAAGCCAGGACCCCCACTCAAGCCAGGACCCCTCATGGACCCCCACTCAAGCCAGGAACCCCACTCAAGCCAGGACCCCCACTCAAGCCAGGACCCCCACTCAAGCCAGGACCCCCCACTCAAGCCAGGACCCCCACTCAAGCCAGGACCCCCCACTCAAGCCAGGACCCCCACTCAAGCCAGGACCCCCACTCAAGCCAGGACCCCTCATGGACCCCCACTCAAGCCAGGACCCCCACTCAAGCCAGGACCCCCACTCAAGCCAGGACCCCCACTCAAGCCAGGACCCCCCACTCAAGCCAGGACCCCCACTCAAGCCAGGACCCCTCATGGACCCCCACTCAAGTATTATCATTTAATAATAATGTTGTATATATATTTTAATATAATTATAAAACCAAGAATAATAGTCTTACAGGAATCTCACTTTCCTTCAAAAACAAAACAAGTTTTCTTATATAATCATTAAGAAAAAAGTACCTATTACAAAAAAGATATTACAAAATACAAAATATAATACAATGAACATAGAGAAGAAATAACAAATAAACATTCTGAAATTGAAAGTTTAAATTGAAATTAATTGAAATTTGAAATGAAATTGAAATAATAAATTGAAATTTAAGTTGAAATTGAAAGAAAAATTGAAGGTTAGTAAAATATTTATTAAACATTCGGTTGAAGAAAAGAAAAAGTAGCGACATTTACTAGAAAAAATATAGAAACATAAAATAAGATAAGAGTGGAAAGATAAGAATAGTGCTAAAGAAGTGACATAACAAAGGCAAGAATATGTGACCTATGAAGATAAAGTTACAATGAAACGATGAAAAAAAATAAGAATGTTATAATGCTAATAAAAAAATTGTTAAAAGATTAAAAAGAATGAATAAACTGAGAAATACATAAATAAGAAGGAAAACATTACAAGAGAGAATAAGTTAATGAGTGAATAAAACAGGTTAATAATTGATTAAATAAAAAAAAACAGAAGGAAAGGGGGACATTAATTTAGGAATAAGCAGTTAAAAACGTTTCCTGTAATAAATACAAAGATTAAAGTTCAAAAAAGGGTGTTATGTATGTTGTGATTCATTCTTACATATGTATAATGTGGAGGAAGTGTAGTGTCATGACTCGGCTTGTATGGTGGAGTGTCGGGGGAGGGGTCATTCTTACATATGTATAATGTGGAGGAAGTGTAGTGTCATGACTCGGCTTGTATGGTGGAGTGTCGGGGGAGGGGTCATTCTTACATATGTATAATGTGGAGGAAGTGTAGTGTCATGACTCTGCTTGTATGGTGGAGTGTCGGGGGAGGGGTCATTCTTACATATGTATAATGTGGAGGAAGTGTAGTGTCATGACTCTGCTTGTATGGTGGAGTGTCGGGGGAGGGGTCATTCTTACATATGTATAATGTGGAGGAAGTGTAGTGTCATGACTCTGCTTGTATGGTGGAGTGTCGGGGGAGGGGTCATTCTTACATATGTATAATGTGGAGGAAGTGTAGTGTCATGACTCTGCTTGTATGGTGGAGTGTCGGGGGAGGGGTCATTCTTACATATGTATAATGTGGAGGAAGTGTAGTGTCATGACTCGGCTTGTATGGTGGAGTGTCGGGGGAGGGGGGAGATTGTGTGGTGTGGTATGTGTGGTAGAGTTGTATAGGAGTTGTGGTGCGTGGTGATGGTGGTGTTTGGAGTAGTGTATGTTAGTGGTGTTTGGTATTTTGTGGTGTATGGAGAGGGTATTGTGGTGCGTATTGTATTGTGGCTGTGATTTGTCTTCTAAGTGTACTTGCCTATGTAAAAAACCACTTAATGATCCACCAAACGTTTTGGGCACGCGCTAGAATATTCCTTCAAAAATGTAAACAAAAAAGTCCTTACCCAACAGTGTGTAGAAGCAGTCAAAAAAATTGGGACGAGATCCGGTTCTTTGGATTCCCTTTCCTAGTTATTTGTGCCTTGTGCGTCTTAATTCTCTTCACTTTCGGACGCTGCGTCGTATTAACTACTGAACCTGCGGTTAGTGTTGGCCTCCAGGACCTGGGGCCAGATTCACGAATCAGTTACGCAAGTACTTACGAACGTGTACATCTTTCCTCAATCTTTCACGGCTTTATTTACATTTATTAAACAGTTTACAAGCATGAAAACTTCCCAATCAACTGTTGTTATTGTTATAAACAGCCTCCTGATGCTTCGGAGCTCATTAACTGTTTAACAATTGTAAAAAAAGCCGTCAAAGATTGGGAAAAGATGGGGACAGATTCGTAAGTGATTGCGGAATTGCTTCGTGAATCTGGCCCCCTGGTTAAGTGTACTCCACTTGGTGGTCTCTCGTACAGGTTGCTTACTTTCATATGTGTTTCCCCGACTTGTTATTAACTTCTAGTGATGTTCTGCCATATTCTCTGTCAATTGAATTAGGTTATTCTTGTCCATCTTATCTATTCCACTCAGTGTTTTGAATGTTGTTATTATATTTTCTTTGTTACTGACTGACGATACACCCTGGTATCTGAACTGTAGTCACTTAAAATTGATTTTTCCTCCAAATGTCCCTCAGATAACTAGGACCTTTCCTCTAAATGCCCCTCAGATAACTTGGAACTTTCCTCCAAATGTCCCTCAGATAACTAGGAACTTTCCTCTAAATGTCCCTCAGATAACTTGGAACTTTCCTCTAAATGTCCCTCAGATAACTAGGAACTTTCCTCTAAATGTCCCTCAGATAACTTGGAACTTTCCTCCAAATGTCCCTCAGATAACTAGGAACTTTCCTCTAAATGTCCCTCAGATAACTTGGAACTTTCCTCCAAATGTCCCTCAGATAACTTGGAACTTTCCTCCAAATGCTCCTCAGATAACTAGGAACTTTCCTCCAAATGCTCCTCAGATAACTAGGAACTTTCCTCCAAATGCTCCTCAGATAACTAGGAACTTTCCTCCAAATGCTCCTCAGATAACTAGGAACTTTCCTCCAAATGCTCCTCAGATAACTAGGAACTTTCCTCCAAATGCTCCTCAGATAACTTGGAACTTTCCTCCAAATGCTCCTCAGATAACTAGGAACTTTCCTCCAAATGTCCCACAGATAACTAGGAACTTTCCTCCAAATGCTCCTCAGATAACTTGGAACTTTCCTCCAAATGCTCCTCAGATAACTTGGAACTTTCCTCCAAATGCTCCTCAGATAACTTGGAACTTTCCTCCAAATGCTCCTCAGATAACTTGGAACTTTCCTCCAAATGTCCCACAGATAACTTCACACTATGGTGTTCAAGGACTGGGGGACAGTCACACAGTTGGTGTAGTTGTTGTCTATACCTTCACGGTGTGGTGGTGTGTGGTGGTGGTGTTGGTGTGTGGTGGTGTGTGGTGGTGTTGGTGTGTGGTGGTGTGTGGTGGTGTGTGGTGGTGTGTGGTGGTGTGTGGTGGTGTTGGTGTGTGGTGGTGTTGGTGTGTGGTGGTGTGTGGTGTGTGTTGGTGTGTGGTGGTGGTGTTGGTGTGTGGTGGTGTGTGGTGGTGGTGTTGGTGTGTGGTGGTGTGTGGTGGTGTGTGGTGGTGTTGGTGTGTGGTGATGTTGGTGTGTGGTGGTGTGTGGTGTGTGTTGGTGTGTGGTGGTGGTGGTGTGTGGTGTGTGGTGGTGTGTGGTGGTGTGTGGTAGTGTTGGTGTGTGGTGGTGTGTGGTGATGTTGGTGTGTGGTGGTGTGTGGTGGTGTGTGGTGGTGTGTGGTGGTGTTGGTGTGTGGTGGTGTGTGGTGGTGGGGGTGTGTGGTGTGTGGTGGTGCTGGTGTGTGGTGGTGTGTGGTGGTGTGTGGTGGTGTGTGGTAGTGTTGGTGTGTGGTGGTGTTGGTGTGTGGTGGTGTGTGGTGTGTGTGGTGTGTGGTGGTGGTGGTGTGTGGTGTGTGGTGGTGTGTGGTGGTGTGTGGTAGTGTTGGTGTGTGGTGGTGTTGGTGTGTGGTGGTGTGTGGTGGTGTTGGTGTGTGGTGGTGGTGGTGTGTGGTGGTGTTGGTGTGTGGTGGTGTTGGTGTGTGTTGGTGTGTGTTGGTGTGTGGTGGTGTGGGGTGGTGATTGTATTTTGGGGCGTGGTGTAACCAACGATGGGGGCGTGGTGTAACCAACGATGGGGGCGTGGTGTAACCAACGATGGGGGCGTGGTGGTGTGTGTGTGTGTGGGGGGGGGGGTCATGGAGGTCGTAGGGAAGGGGGGGGGAGAGTGGGGAGAGAGAGGGAGGGGTGAGAGAAGGGTCGGCACTCCCCGAGTGACTCACTCTCCCATACTCAGTTTCCCCCGCGACCGCCAAGCTGCTGCCCGGAGCCAAGCGCACTCCCGCTCTGACGACACACAACCGCCGCTGCCACTCCTGCCGCTGCTCTTCTGGCCATCGCCGCCGCCGCCGCTGGACCTGCCGCCGCTGCCTCACCCTCTCACAAGTCTCGGCGCTCACCAGGACTCCCGTTTCTAGCTGACAAATGCGAGATTAAGCGCCCCCAACACCTGTCGGAAGGAGCGCTTAAACCTGTTATGAAATGAGGAGAGTTGAAGTTCCCTGAGTTCCGCATCAGCGAGCGAGCCGCGAGTGGCGCCAGTTAGACGCCGCCGGCCGCGCCACCTTCATCTTCCTACCTCCTCCTCCTCTCTTACGCGCGAATTTACGAAGTTTCTTCGAGGATTTTTGGTGTAGAGTTGTGCGATCGAGGCGTCAAACACGTGCGTGATGGAGCAGTCTCCCCTCGGCCCGGACTCCCCTCACCAGGTAAACAGTTTTCACCACAGGTTTCCCAGTCTGTGTTTTGCTGTAGAAATACATTGTTTGTACGAAAGATTTGAGGTTGATCGAAATTTGGGATTTATTTACGTGATTGGAGCCGGGGGATAAAGGTCGATTAGCCGGATACTTTCTCTTGTGAATTAATCTCACGAAGTCCTGAGTCGACTTGAGAATGGTCCAGGACGGACCGAAACGTCGTCGTCCCTTCACTTTCTAGTGTGTGGTCTGGTCAACATAATCTCACGAAATTATATGATTGGGTATCAAGTATTCAGAACACTTTCCATTCAATTTCTACAATCAATGGCAAAGTTGTATACTACCAACATATGGGCAGCGTGGAAACGAACATATGAATACTAACATCTGTATAATATCAAACATACGAACAAAATGAATATGAACATCTTAATTCTCTAGCCTCCGCCTATACACTCTGATCTCTAAAAGCAGTTCTATGTACATCTCGAGAAAAGAATCATAAATTGACGGCTACTCTACCGCGGCCTCCGAAATCTTAGGAATAATGTACAGTACCTACAGTACATAGGGACACTGTACCTTACGCTGCTAGACACTCCTTCAGGAGATGAGCTTCTCTGCAGGCCATATTGACAAAGAAAATAACTACTGAAGCTGTCTTCGTCAGGAGGGATTGAGGATGCCCCCATCAGTACTACCCAAAGACCGCTCTCGAACGACCAAACCATCCTTCCCTTCCCCCGCAACGCGAAGTCATGCCGGGATTGACGATTAGACACTTAACAATCGAAGACTCTCCGTTTCAGCTGTAATAATTGTCGTATTTGTTAACTAACTTTGCCCCGAGCGGTCGTCACCTCCAAGCAATCGGAAATAGAAACTGCAACCGCTTAGTGCAAAGCTCTGTATAATTGGGTTTAATAGCAAGATCATTGGGTTTAATAGCAAGATCATTGGGTTTAATAGCAAGATCATTGGGTTTAATAGCAAGATCATTGGGTTTAATAGCAAGATCATTGGGTTTAATAGCAAGATCATTGGGTTTAATAGCAAGATCATTGGGTTTAATAGCAAGATCATTGGGTTTAATAGTAATAAGGATAGTTCTTTGGCTGGTAATAGAGAATACCTTCGCTCAAACAGCTTTACCAGCTGCCTAACAGCCTGGGCCTGGGAAAGACCTAACCATTGTCGATGATAAAACGAAATCCGCAACTAAAAGATAATATTTGTTATTGCGACACGTTAAACAGTAGTCGTTAAACAGTCACGTTAAACACGTGAGACTGTGGAAAATCCTCGAAGATGTTCGTCCAGATGTGAAACGGTAGACTCGTGTCAACGGTAAGCTGTTGTCAACGGTAAACTGTTGATAACGGTAGGCTGTTGTCAACGGTAGGCTGTTGTCAACGGTAGGCTGTTGTCAACGGTAGGCTGTTATCAACGGTAGGCTGTTATCAACGGTAGGCTGTTGTCAACGGTAGGCTGTTATCAACGGTAGGCTGTTGTCAACGGTAGGCTGTTGTCAACGGTAGGCTGTTATCAACGGTAGGCTGTTGTCAACGGTAGGCTGTTGTCAACGGTAGGCTGTTGTCAACGGTAGGCTGTTATCAACGGTAGGCTGTTGTCAACGGTAGGCTGTTGTCAACGGTAGGCTGTTGTCAACGGTAGGCTGTTGTCAACGGTAGGCTGTTGTCAACGGTAAGCTTGCGTCAACGGTAGACTCGTGTCACTGGAAGACTCTTGACAATGATATATGTGCAACGGTAGACTCCTGTTAAAGGTATGCACTTGGCAACATCAAACATAGCAAGAGTACAAGCTTAACAACGGTACAGTCTAGGCAACAGTAGAATTCCGGCAAGGGAAAGATTCTTGGCAACGGAAAGACTCTTCTCATAGCGGCTTACCTTTTCCAACAGTCAGTCAAGGGGCCAAAAAGCACTAAGAACCTGGTGCCAGATTCACGAAGCAGTTACGCAAGCACTTACGAACGCGTACATCTTTCCTCAATCTTTGGCGGCTTTGTTTACATTTATTAAACAGTTTTACAAGCATGAAAATAACCACAGTTGATTGGAAAGTTGTTATAAACAGCCTCCTGGTGCTCCGGAGCTCATTAACAGCCTCCTGGTGCTCCGGAGCTCATTAACAGCCTCCTGGTGCTCCGGAGCTCATTAACAGCCTCCTGGTGCTCCGGAGCTCATTAACAGCCTCCTGGTGCTCCGGAGCTCATTAACAGCCTCCTGGTGCTCCGGAGCTCATTAACAGCCTCCTGGTGCTCCGGAGCTCATTAACAGCCTCCTGGTGCTCCGGAGCTCATTAACAGCCTCCTGGTGCTCCGGAGCTCATTAACAGCCTCCTGGTGCTCCGGAGCTCATTAACAGCCTCCTGGTGCTCCGGAGCTCATTAACAGCCTCCTGGTGCTCCGGAGCTCATTAACAGCCTCCTGGTGCTCCGGAGCTCATTAACAGCCTCCTGGTGCTCCGGAGCTCATTAACAGCCTCCTGGTGCTCCGGAGCTCATTAACAGCCTCCTGGTGCTCCGGAGCTCATTAACAGCCTCCTGGTGCTCCGGAGCTCATTAACTGTTTAATAATTGTAAACAAAGCCACCAAAGATTGAGAAAAGATGTACAGGTTCGTAGGTGCTTGCGTAACTGCTTCGTGAATCTGGCCCCCTGCTAAAAAGAGTTCTGGCGCCTGTAAAACAGGGGCCAGAACTCTTGACAGGCGCCTCGGAACTCTTGACAGGCGCCTTGGAACTCTTGACAGGCGCCTTGGAACTCTTGACAGGCGCCTTGGAACTCTTGACAGGCGCCTTGGAACTCTTTGCAGGCGCCTCGGAACTCTTGACAGGCGCCTCGGAACTCTTGACAGGCACCTCGGAACACTTGACAGGCGCCTCGGAACTCTTGACAGGCGCCTCAGAACACTTGACAGGCGCCTCGGAACTCTTGACAGGCGCCTCAGAACACTTGACAGGCGCCTCGGAACTCTTGACAGGCGCCTCGGAACACTTGACAGGCGCCTCGGAACTCTTGACAGGCGCCTTGGAACTCTTGACAGGCGCCTCGCAACTCTTGACAGGCGCCTCGGAACTCTTGACAGGCGCCTCGGAACTCTTGACAGGCGCCTCGGAGCGACCCTGTCCCCTCAGCAGTGAGAATATCTCGAACAAGCTGGAGTAATACCGTGTATTCTCATCCACTCACGAAACCTCTACATCTTTTTTCAGCAATCGCGGAATCTTTGTTAACACTTGTGTTCACGGGCTGCGAAATATCATACGATTCATGGTTATTGTTGTTCAACACAACCTCGTAGTGGATTAGAGTATATTAGACCAGATTCTTCTCTGGGAGAAACTTTGATCAAATTATTCTCACACACCTGACACTGTGTTCATATTATCGTCACACACCTGTCACTATGCTCATATTATTCTCACATAACTGTCACTGCTCATATTATCGTCACACACCTGTCACTATGCTCATATTATTCTCACATAACTGTCACTGCTCATATTATCGTCACACACCTGTCACTGTGCTCATATTATCGTCACACACCTGTCACTTGATAATCGAATCGTCGATTCGATTTAAGGAATTGAAGGATCGAAGGGAAGGGAACTATCAGGAGATAGCGCCAAGCCATTACGGCTATATAGCACTTGGAAGGGGTCAGGATAAGGATTTAGGATGGGACGGGCAGAGGGGGGGGGGGAGGGAATGGTGCCCAATCACTTGTGGACGGTCGGGGATTGAACGCCGACCTGCATGAAGCGAGACCGTCGCTCTACCGGTTACGGTATTGTGACTATGTGCGTTGTGTTGTTTTCGAGGTGACCAAACCCCAGCGACCTGTAATTGGGGTCAACCAGGGGTCATAACAGCTGGCCAATTCGCTGTCAACCACAATCAATGACAGTGACCAGCGCCCAAATTCTTGCGTATTCTTGTGTGTGTATAAGTACTCATCTGGTTGTTGACCAAACCACACACTAGAAAGTGAAGGGACGACGACGTTTCGGTCCGTCCTGAACCATTCTCAAGTCGATTGTGAATCGATTTGGTCAATATATTTCAGCCACGTTATTGTGACTCCTCGTCTGCACTCACCCAGTTGTCAATTCAGAGTCGTGTTTCAGATTCTTTACTCCCATTCGACTGACGGTCGTCTGATATGATGGCTTCTGACTGCCATATTTCTAATCGTATCTGAGACTACGCAAGAAGTTAACCTCAGTTTCTTCCGTTCGAATTGGCTCTGCTGAACCATTGCTCAAGTTTAGAAGTGCGTCCTTACATTTGTATGTTTTTTCTGCATCTCTAACTTCCACCTATGGCCTTCATAACCCAGATCTATCAAGTGTGTGTGTGTGTGTGTGTGTGTGTGTGTGTGTACTTACCTAGTTGTGCTTGCGGGGGTTGAGCTCTGGCTCTTTGGTCCCACCTCTCCACTGTCAATCAAATAATGTACAGGTTCGTGAGCCTACTGGGCTCTATCATATCTACACTTGAAGCTGTGTAAGGAGTCAGCCTCCACCACATCACTTCCTGTGTGTGTGTGTGTGTGTGTGTGTGTGTGTGTGTGTGTGTGTGTGTGTGTGTGTGTGTGTGTGTGTGTGTGTGTGTGTGTGTATGTGTGTGTGTGTGTGTGTTGTATTCACCTAGTTGTGCTTGCGGGGGTTGAGCTCTGCTCTTTCGGCCCGCCTCTCAACTGTCAATCAACTGTTACTAACTACTATTTTCCCCCCCCCACACCACATACACACACCCCAGGAAGCAGCCCGCGACAGCTGACTAACTCCCAGGTACCTATTTACTGCTAGGTAACAGGGGCATTAGGGTGAAAGAAACTCTGCCCATTGTTTCTCGCCGGCGCCCGAAATCGAACCTGGGACCACAGGATCACCCGTCCAGCGTGCTGTGCGCTCAGTCACCGGCCCCGTGTGTGCGTGTATGTATGTGAGGGGGGGGGGAGGGGGGGGAGGGGGATAATTAACATATGGATAATTCAATCCGTCACACCAGTCTTGGTTATCCATTTCCACGTCAACCTTAACCTGTGTACCTAATAAGAAGGGACTGAAAGGTGGGACCAAGAAACTAATGTTTTTCTACCTTGAGAGGAGTCTGGGAGGATAAAGTAAAGAGGTTGGGGAAGGGATAGAGGGCAGGGGATGGTGGGACAGGGACGGGGGGAGGAGGAGAAGATAGGGAAAGGCGGGGGGTGGGGGGGAGGAAGGACTAGGAACCGGACCTGTGGGGTAATGCCGCGACACAGACGGATCAAAGGTGCGGACAAAGGGGACAGGTCTTTGATGCCTCGAGTGTGTCTGTTCCGGACAGGGTTTCGACAAGATGGACGCACGTTCCCCAGTCCTCAACACCACCAGTTACCTGCAATTACCCTAAACCGGAACCTCCAGCTGCTGATCTCCCCCTTCCAGTCCTCCCCGACCCATAATTGGGATTAATTGGACAGCATAGTTATGTGGTTATACCTGGTTTCCAAGAATTCGATAGATATACAGAGCCTGGAGTCCAGTAAGGCTTCGAACTCAGAGTTCGTCTTATATTAAAGGGTCTAATGGTTCTCTCTTAATGTGATTCTTGGAGATTTGTTACATATTTCAAGCTCGAGAGACTTCGAGTTTTGTGAGCTATATTATATCTTGCATCAATATATATATAGATCAAATGGTGAATCAATGGAGATCATAAGTGGGAGCCATCTGGTTCTTGAACCATGTCTGGAACACGACGGTGAAGCCATCTCATGGTTCCTGAACCATGTCTGGAACACGACGGTGAAGCCATCTCATGGTTCTTGAACCATGTCTGGAACACGACGGTGAAGCCATCTCATGGTTCCTGAACCATGTCTGGAACACGACGGTGAAGCCATCTCATGGTTCCTGAACCACGTCTGGAACACGTGGTTCCCGAACTATATACCAGAAACTTGTAATAGAACGCAAACACTTTTCATCTCTAAGCTCAAGTGGATCAAAGAGAATAAACATTGATGATACCTGAAGTCTTTCAATAAATCCATCAGTAGATCTATAAATTAATCCACTAATAAATGAACATATTGTTGAATATATACAATAACCAATAAATTATCCAATACCGTTTTCGCGTGACACTTTGTATTATACAAAAGCATAAATCTGGCCGCCATTGTGATTTGTCCTGAGAATGGGTTTGATATGTTGATGGAGCTACTGTATTAATCAAGCTGACTGATGGATGAATACAGTCAGTCGATCATTCAAACTGACAAGTGACTGGATGCAGTTACTCTATCACTTAAGCTCATTAGTGACTGGATGCAGTTACTCTATCACTTAAGCTCATTGGTGAATGGATGCAGTTACTGTATCACTTAAGCTCATTAGTGACTGGATGCAGTTACTCTATCACTTATGCTCATTGGTGAATGGATGCAGTTACTCTATCACTTAAGCTCATTAGTGACTGGATGCAGTTACTCTATCACTTAAGCTCATTAGTGAATGGATGCAGTTACTGTATCACTTAAGCTCATTAGTGACTGGATGCAGTTACTCTATCACTTATGCTCATTGGTGAATGGATGCAGTTACTCTATCACTTAAGCTCATTAGTGACTGGATGCAGTTACTCTATCACTTAAGCTCATTAGTGACTGGATGCAGTTACTCTATCACTTAAGCTCATTAGTGAATGGATGCAGTTACTCTATCACTTAAGCTCATTGGTGAATGGATGCAGTTACTCTATCACTTAAGCTCATTGGTGAATGGATGCAGTTACTCTATCACTTAAGCTCATTAGTGAATGGATGCAGTTACTCTATCACTTAAGCTCATTGGTGAATGGATGCAGTTACTCTATCACTTAAGCTCATTGGTGAATGGATGCAGTTACTCTATCACTTAAGCTCATTGGTGAATGGATGCAGTTACTCTATCACTTAAGCTCATTGGTGAATGGATGCAGTTACTCTATCACTTAAGCTCATTGGGTGAATGGATGCACTTAAGCTCATTGGTGAATGGATGCAGTTACTCTATCACTTAAGCTCATTAGTGACTGGATGCAGACTTAATGAATGGATGCAGTTGAATTATCATTTTAGCTGACTGGTGAATGGATACACTTAATCTGTTAGTCAAAGTGAGTGATATAAGGAGCTTGTCTATCAGTACAAACACCAAAATGTTGATAGTTTTCTTTATTTACAAGAATAACGGACTGTGCTGTGGTTTATATACACTAGATTTCGTAAGTTTATACATTGATACCAGGATTTATAATTTAACATAACCAGGACTTATAATTTAACTTTGGAGAGTTAATTTTTCAACTTCCTTCTACAGTGAAGAAAAACATAAGAAATATTGGGAAGATTCGTGTTAGAATCATTAATCTTATATATATCTCAAATGTATTTTTGCTGTTATATACAAATTTTTACCGCCTTACACAGAAAAATATTATCTTCCTCTATGGAGACTCTGTCCATATCAGTACAGATGTTTAGGTTAAGATGTAGGAGAATACCTATCTTAGGTATTTTGAGAAGAGCAGCTGGTGAGAGAGAACCTTTGCAGCCCCGCAGCGGTGAGGTTCATATCTCTACAAACGTATCACCATGTTTTTTTGTGTTTTTCTGTCGGGAATTGTGAAACCTTGAAACTGTATAAAGTTTGTCCGTCAAGACTTGAGTAATTGAGCAACAGCCGTTTTATATATATATATATATATATATATATATATATATATATATATTATATATATATATATATATATATATATATATATGAATCCCCAGGACAATATATACTCACACCCCAGAATATATATATTATATATATATCCGATATATATATATATATATAGGGGAGTTACAACCTCTGGGGGAGGGTGGGAGTTACAACCTCTGGATGTTTCTAGGGACCCTCATGCCTGAAGAAGAGGAAATGCAGTACCTGGGAAAGCCTTTTCGGGGTCGTACGTGCGCTGGCACATATTGTTTTCTCCCACCACCTCGTTAACGGGGCTCTCTCTCAGCTGGGCATCCAGCTGTGGTGAGGCTCCTCTTGATGATGTCGTTAACTTCACTGTGCCTCGAGTGCCATCCCCCTGTGCTTTGGCAGAGTAGGCCATGGAGGCCGTACCTGTCAGCCACCACCTCGCCGCAAATACACCTATATTTGATGTGGATTGGGGCAGCAATTTGGAGGGCCACAGCAATTTGGAGAGCATGTGGTGTGAGACGCGTGCCAGTTGCCGACACTGGGGTTGCTAACAGAAAATCCCCAGCGTGTCGGGCTGCTACTTTTGTGAGGCGAACAATATCATGTTGTGTTGTTACAGCACCCAATCACTCTGCAACCACTCGGTCTATAATGGGACCAACCCATTATAATGGGACTAACCAACCAGAAGGCCTGGTCGACGACCGGGCCGCGGGGACACTAAGCCCCGGACGCACCTCAAGGTAACCCAGCTGGCTTGCTTGTGCGCTTTTGATGGTGGTAGTTGGAGTGATAGGCCTGCACGAGAGGCCCACTCGGTGGCACAGTGTATAAAGTTGGGATCGTGTAGGCCTGCCAGCTGATGTAAGTAGGCAGGTAGAATTTCCTTCACAAAGTCGTCAGATGCCGAGGAGGAGGACAGGTAGGCTGGTACAGCGATTTTCGTTGCTGTCCGAACACCAAGGCCCAAACGTCTACGTACTGAACACATATAATAATACTAATAATTATATTCCTGGTGACTATGGGACTATGAGGCTATGGGTCCCTACAACTATCCCAGTGTTGGTACCCCTATCTATATCTATCTATCTATCGTTCTAAAACAAAAAATAATAATTAATTTGTTCATAGTAGACATAAACAACCACATAATAATCACAAATTTAAATTTGTGATTTAAAACAATCACAAATCCATAAACACGAAGCAATATACAGGAATAAAAAACCATAAATGGCCAAATCATCGATCTTTCCTGAGCAGTAAAGTTGATTAAAACTTTATATCATTATCTAACAATGCGAATTTTATCCTCTGGTGATTTTCGCAAAGATGAGAAATTTGCAACATTTTTATATGAATATTTTAAGCAATAGCTGAGAGAGCAGTGGATCCACTCATCTGAGCAA